TCGCTCAAGACCTTCGCTCAAGACCTTCGCTCAAGACCTTCGCTCAAGACCTTCGCTCAAGACCTTCGCTACACTTTATACTTAGACCACACTTTGAACCGGGAAAGAGCGACCCGGGTTCCTTCATGACCACATCCAATTCGAAGCATATGCGTCGGTCGAGCGGGAAGGTACAGAGGTTGAATGTACCGTTTTAGCGAGATCCAGAGGCGAAAGGAAAGAAGCCGGGAGGAGGAAGGAGGAAGGAGAAACACGGCCGCCTAACCTCATTCTTTCTTTGCTGCGTGTGAGGACTGTCAAGAAGTGTCAAAACCAGAGTCGATTTATTGTGTCTTACAATGCTGAGTTTCGTACCTGAACAATTCCAAACTGAATTTGGCTCTGCAGTGGCCATGTCAGAGAGTTGGCCAGCATTCTTTTATTAAGGGCGTAGCATGCGTTGTGTGGCAGTAACCAGGGGGGAAGGAGCTCCTGGGCATTTGACACACCGCCCGCGGCTGCAAAGTTGGGAATAACTCGCTCAATGGCCGGAGCCAAACCTTTGAGACAAAGATTCCCAGATCATTGCAGAGAAAATAAAATTAACATGTAATACAGAACTGAATGGCCAGTTTTCAAACACGCAATAAAACTCTGTCGTCGCATTTGCATACAGTTTCTGTCCTGCTCCTTGGGTATATAAGGTAGGCGCTCTCCTACCTTTTCACCCAGAGCGATTACCTGAGAACGTACTAACCCAGAAACTGAGAAAGGTAACTGCTAAGACGCGCGGTCCTCTTCCCCTCATTTTCTCACCTCTTCTTCATCCACCTCCCGCATCTCTTACTCTTCTTTTTCCAACCACACAGCATTCTGAACTCTATCGATTCCTTCTCAAGCTTACAACCTCCGTCAGACTCTGATTTCTACCGTGAGAAAGACTTTCAAATTACAACTTCTTCTGGAACTACTCCGGTCAACAGTACTCTACAGGTATAGTACTCCCTTCCAATCCTCTTTCGCGTCAGTTGTCAAAAATCATCCAGAATTCAGCGTGACTTCTTCCTGGTGGCAACACAGCCTCACGATCTGGAGCTAACAAATGTTCTTCTATGTTATAGCATCTAGTGAAGTGCGAAAGTGCCGAATATCCACGAGAGATCCAGCGCCCCCGACAATACCACCAACTCTCCCCGAGACGCTTTCCTCTTCTTGCTCAGGAGGTTCGCACTGAGACCAGCGAGTCCCAAGCGACACGATGCCCGGCCGCGACCAGCCCCGCGAAGATGAGGAAGACGATAACCTCAACCAGGTTCCAGCTCCAAACCTGCTGGAGCTTTTCTTTATTTACGTGAGAGTAATGTTGGATCCACGCTTCAAGTAAAGATCCAACACCACCCGCAATTGTACTTCACGAGATGTCATTTCTGATCCCGTGGCTGGAGTCAAGAGAGGAACACGTGGATATAATGACTTTGCTTTTCTATTCTTTTTTTGGGATGCCTCATTACTAGTCGCCGAGAGGGCGGAAACTATTTGTACTTTCTTCTATCCTCAGTCCACCCGGGCCTTAGATAGTCACTATCAAAGGCAAAATCGAAACTTGTTGAGTGAACATAGTCCAGCTTCCAGTCAATCTTCATCTCCACCCCTTCGGCGGATTGACTCCACACCGTGACGAGTATCGTGTTGTCTCCCTTGTAGTTGAGAACGCCCGGTGGAACGGGGAAGTCGATCTGGTTACCAATATAAGGGCTGAATCGCCCGTACTGGTATCCATTGACAAATAGCAGAGCCCGTAGACGATTGGAATGGCCTGGGTCACTGGGCTCGTAGCCTGCATTCCCAGTTGACGTAAGCCGGAAGGTGACGGAGACATCAAGGCCAGATGGAACATCAAGAGGCACGACTGTTCTAAAAGCACGTACGCCAGCAGAGGGGACAACAAGGGCGCTGCTGTTTCCATCGACCCAGCACTTGCCGGGGAACCCGGGCAGATGCATGCCAACTCGTTCAGCGTACAGGCCTCCTTCATTCATTGGCCCACGCACTGGGTCGATATTCTCCTCCCTGCCTGCGTTTCCGGCGATCCTCCATTCAGAGAACTTATACTCACTGCTGGTAGGCCCAAGGAGTGTGGCGTTGGTGATACCGCGAGGATCGATAGCAGACTCGCGCAGCTCATGACCAGATTGGTCCATGAGAACAACCAGCACGTTATCCTGGCCCTTGTCTGCTAGGGTAGCGTTGTCGAAGGAGAAAGTCTCAATGCTATTACCCTTGTACGATAGGCCGTAGTAAGACCCAATGTACTCCGAGTTGAGCCAGACAGAGTAACCGAAGGCGAGACCTCCTTGTAGGCTCAGTGATACACCGGTTTGAGCTTCATTTGCAGTTGGAAAGGTAGCCCGGTAAATATGGTTGCCGTAGTGGATTTTATAATCATCAACGTAGAGAACCGGGTTGTTGTCGGCTGGTTTCGTCGGATTGGGTGTTTCGGTGTTATTGGCAACTAGCTGATGTTAACACCGTGACGTCGGGGGCATGGTTTTGGGAAAAGACAACTTACCGATCCAGGCCTCTCCTGTGGCGTCGTACTTAGGTCTGATCTCGGGCAGACTGTCGACGCTCTTCCAAGGACCAAGAGTAGGTAGCTGGAACTTTGCCGGTCCCTGAATAGACACAGTGTAAGTGCCCTTGCTCTTGGATTCAATGGTAACGTCTTCCCCATTCCAAGTTATGGTTTCCACCGCCTCAGGTGCGAAAATTGTGGCAGATTGAGCATCCTCTTCATCTCCGGTGAGGTGGAGGGTTTTTGAACCACTGTCGTATCCGGCTGATCGAACGAGATATGGTCCCTGAACAAACACTTTCGGATGGTTAGCAAGCATGGAATAGAAGGGGCTGTTGAGCTAGTTCTTAGCTTACCTGTTGCATTCTCCGGGACGAAGGGATCATTGACAAGAGCTGGTACCCAGAACCGGTACGCGGCCGCCCGATCAAGAAGCCAAATATGCGTTCCATCTGGGAGTTCAAGTGTACCAAGACCAGCGGTCTGAGTCCAGGATACAGTAATTCCGAAATCGACCTGGTTAACAGACAACGACTCCTTGAAGGCGGAGGTTCCGACAGTGGACGCCTTGATCGATTCTGTGTCTTGGATTGACCCAGCCCCCTTAATGGTGAACTCTCCAGACTCACCCTCAGGTAGCCAGAGAGCCAGGACTTCTTTGCCATCAATGATAGAGAAGCTCAATATCTCTGCTGTTGAGTACAGAAGTGTCTTGCTACCGAAGCTGAAGTCGGTGACAAGAATCTTAGCTTGGTGACCGGCAATGACTACGTCTTTGCTGAACTCCGGCACGGTAAGACTTCCTTCGGACGTATTGATGTGAACCTTGAAGCTTTCCGTGGTGCTCGATGTTGAGTCCGCATGCATGACAACGTAAAACCCGGCGTTGGTGTCTGGGTTTCGTAGCTCAGACACTGTAATCGCC